ATCAACTCATTTTATGTCCCGTTCAATTCCTGTCATTTTCTTATGAATGGCTTTTGTTCCTCTCCCAAATTCCCCACTTACCTGATCCTGCTAACCCAGCTCAAGTTTTAGATAGAAGCCACCGCTGCAAAATCATCATCTTTATAATATTTTATATCGAAGAAACGGCCGAGATATAACTTCAAGTGAAGGTTTCCATGGGGCCCTTCGCTACTTACGGAGATCACGAGTTCCGAGTGGAACTTCTGTATAGAGGATACAGCAATCAATCGGACTTTGAATATAAATCGCTGGAACAAAGAGTCCAGCATACGGAAATGAGATGACGGTCAAAGCAAGAATGGTGCTTAAGAGAAACTTTCAATCTCCCTCGTCTACCTGGGATACCAAAGTTTGCATACACGAATCCTGGTGGGCTTCAATACTTTCAGTCGAGAAAACTTAAAGTTTGCAATGAATAAGTCCGCTTAGCTAAGGTGATACAATAGCTAGATGTACATTACAACATCATTATCTTAAACCAATCAGTTTGCAACTTCCGTACCCTCCAACAGGAATCTTGTTATAAAAAAATGTATATAGATATTTCAAAACTAGATCCTTGGTAAGCGCAGACCACAATACAATACAAAACTAATTATTTTGGTTGCTCAGAAGACTCTGAAATGATGGCATCTAAAAAAAGAAGGCATCTCCACTTGGCTAGCTGGATGGATTTTTTGAGGATTAATTTCTTATAACGTTCAATGAATTCATAGTTTGGCTCCATCGCCTGGAGGGCAAATAATAAAATCACGAAATCATGAAGCGAAAGGTTTAAGGTTTTATTATTTCGGCAAGATTTCGAGAAATTCTGCGCGTGTGTGCCCTGAACGTTATAAGAACTTAAAAAAGAGTATCCAAAAAGGCAATAAAAGGTCAGGAGGAACCAGTAGGGTTTTCTTGCTCGTTGAACGCAGACAACAATCCAACGCACACACAGCCAATTGGACGGAACGGCTGGGATGAGCCACAGAGACAAGAGAAAGGTCAACAACCAACTACCGTGACAAAAGAAGGACGACGAGTTAATCAGGGGAATGATCAGCAGGTAACGAGGGGTCACAGCTGACTGGTCACACTGTGAAACCTCGCCAAACACACCGTTGGTGAGAACAGTTCCCCAATATCTCAAGACCAAATCTGCTTCTATATAAAGGCTTGCCTCTCTTGGATTCTCCATTCTCTTTCTTACCATTCACTGTTCGTCTTCTTCACCATTATTTCATAACAAACCTCTGGGATCTGACACTTCCGTGCTGACCAGGCGTGTCAGATGGTGCATTTTAGTCACACATCTCTCACATTCTAACTATGTCTAAATTCAGGACCTTTGGGAGAAGCTGCTGCTTATCATCAGACAGTTCGATGAGCATAGACTCATGAAATTTGTGTATCTATCTTCGCACAAGAGGATAAGAAACAACAACATGTTTTGTTTTTCCATAGTATAATGAGACTTTCAAATCTCTTGCGGTCACTCACTGTCACTTATTGGTGAAGAGTTATCCCATTGAAGATGCCATTTGTTGATATTTATAATATGTTGATATCTAAATTTAAGGTGAATCATTCCTAGGACTAGTTAGATTGTGAAATAATTGCAACGGAACCTAAAACGACATGTCAATCGAATAATTGCAAAAAGTTTCTTTATTCAGTAAAATGGCAAGCTTTCAAGCGTTAGCTCATATCAGGCCAATTGTTTCGCAAATTCCTACAATATATATAGAGGTGTATATATATAAACTTTTTCAAGTGTAAATATGTAAATACCTCCTACACCTCTCTCTCTATATATATATATTGTAGGAATTTGTGAAACAATTGGCCTGATGATGAGCTAACACTTGAAAGCTTGTCATTTTTAACTGAATAAAGAAACTTTTTGCAATTATTCTATTGATATTCCTAGGACCGATGAGCCTTATCAATCTTTTTTTTTTCAAGATGATCCATAACTATAGTTTTCAACTGGTGGTAAAACATTGCTTGGTTTATTATTTTTAGTTGGTCCACCCTTCTCTAGATCTGGTTGGTACCTTCGATGCCAGCTTCAATCAATCATATAAAGTAGGTTATCATGTCTTAAAACGTGACCCATCCAATTCAGCGTTTGCTTAGCATTTTCATGAGGGATCTATTCTTTCCTCGAGGATTTTCTTGCAACTAGCACATGCTCTATATTCACCATTAAAATATCCCTATAGCCAATTTAAAAACATTGGCTAGAAAGAGGATGTAGATTACAGAATTTCATGGAAGCTTATCAAATAGCTTGGTGCTGCAAGATTGAATAAGTTTCTTTAGTCGACAATGTGACAACATTCTGTTGGAAAGATACTTTATTTGGTAATGTAGCTATTGACCATCATGTTACAATCAGGGGCTCGGTGGACGAGTGATCAAAACCGCTACGACCCGGAATCGAATCCCGCGCATTGGGCACTTTTTTCTAATATATATATATATTTTTAAATGCTCAAATGGCCCCCAATTCTTGTAAAAATCTAACCCCACCAGCGAGTGCAAGTAACTAAACGGGCTATGGCACACTTTTAAGTGCAAAAATCGAACTGTTCTTCACATTTGTAGACATGTGGTGCATTTACAGTAAAAGTAGTCGCCAACTTTTATCCACCATGATAATCATGGCCTGTACCAAGTTTACTAGGGATAATAAAACAAAACAAAAATTACAATCATTAATCTTCTAAGGCATTACAAGATTAAAGAGCTAGATGGTGGACTGACCAGGGTGAATATACTGAACGAAAAATAGTAATTTTGAGACAAAACCATCGGTGTGCCGGTTGACATCCAAGTTAGCTCGGGAACGGTATATCTGGCTCAACATCAATCAATCCCCAATGTAAGAGCTGAGTAGAGCGTTCTGCGAAGCTATAAAGGAGGACACTTCTAGGATATGTAAATAATGTTTCCATACACTTACTCCTGGGTAAACAGTTGGGGACTGTTGAAGAGCCTATTTTGATATAAAGCTCTCTCTCGTTATACTGTATAGCTCGTTATAACTGTATATATTTTACTCTTTTATTTTATCCCTCTTTTTATAATTATTATACAACAACAAAAACCTTTATTAAGACACTATTGTCTTACAAGGGGATTCCCCTAAAAAGTTATATATGTACATGAGTGAGGAGGGAAAGCAATTTAGAGGGGAGGGGGAGCAATCAGCCGTTGTCTGTGGAGTTGAGCACTTCTTCTCTCATTTTATCAATCGCCTTGAAAAATGTAAAATATTTATAAACAAATGTTTTATCCAGCAGGAGAGCAGTAAAGATTTTATATACATGTTGTTCATTGTAGTGAGTTAGCTCCGAAATTTCGCGAAATTCCATTCTCTTTTCATGTAGGAATGGGCAATGGAATAGATAGTAGACCAAAATGTCTTGGATGCCAACATTATAATTATTATATACTACTACCATTGAATTGTGTATGAGGTCAATAAAATATGTTTAAATCTCAAAATCTCTCTCGTTATATTTGGCATAGTAAAAGTGTTTTTAAAAGCGGTACAGGCCATTATAATCATGGTGGGTAGTAGTTGGCGACTGCTTTACTGCAAGTGTTCCACATGTCTACACATGTAGAAAGAATTTGAAATTTTAACTTATAAGTGTGTCTTATTCCCACATTTGATTACTTGGACTCACTGGTGGGGTTGGACTTTTGCAATAATCAGGGATCATTGTAGCAATATTTTTAATTAGAAAAAAAGGACCCAATGCGGGATTCAATCCCAGATCTTTTTTTTTTTTACTTCTTCTTTTATTAGTCTAAATTAGACAATATCTTGGAGGTCGTGCTAATAAAGAAGTTCAAGAATTCTTCTTAGTTCTCTGTACAGGGATCCTTTGTCCTTTCTAATACAATCCCAGATCGTGGCTGTAGGTAATCAACAATTTTCTTAAGAAAAAAAAAGTGCCCAATGCGGGATTCGAACCAGGATCATATTTGCCTAAAAATAAGACGGTTTATAACACTGCTCCACCGACTTCTCCATTGTAAACGATACTTATCGCTAATCAACGATGTATTTTACAATTTTAAAGTCTATTCTTAACATATTTTACGAGTGGTGGTCTTATAATAGACCGCCGCTATGACAGAAAGGGTCAATCACTGGCCTGCGCCAGTCGCTGAAGTGGGTCAGCACGGAGAAGAAGAAGAAGAAAAGAGGGGCGGGGTGAAGACGTGCTGAATACTGATTGGTGGAGAAATTCTACCTCCAGGGCAGGCAGGCAGACTTGATGGTGAAATCACAAAACTTGACGGTGTTATGCAAACTGCCGCAGCAAGTTAGTGATAACGAGGGGAACGTTTTTATGTCTTAAAAAAGTTCTTGGGACAATAAAAGAGGAATTGTCATCGCTGATTTCGGGATTTATTAAATTCATTTATGTACCAAAAATGGAAATTTTGATATTGAATATGCATTAAAACAATGCATCAGGTTCAATAATCCAGTACAGAACAAAGGGGTAGTGATGAAGAATGAGTCATACGAATTCTGGAAAATTCAGACAAAAAGCCAACCACCTGTAAACCTTGGTTTCAGGCTATGGCCCTTATTGGTACGATTTTATAACATGCTAAGAGAAGGATGTTATCAAATCGGACGAAGTTACCCGATCATTCATATAAATAAACATTAAAATTCATATAAGTATAATCTTTATATATATATATATGTCATAATTTGTATAGTTAATGCCAAAAGATATAATTTATTTCCGTCGAACTAAGTATGTAAATATGTTACCATTGTGTTAAAATGTAAATATGTAAATTCCTCCATGTATAAAAGCGGGACAAAATATAAAGGTGGCAGACATCGCGGGTGCGCTGTTCCCTAGGCATAACGACTGCGCCTCGTCATTTAGCTACGACATATATATACACACACACATGAATTAACATACATTACTGAAGGCCCTAGTGGACATGGCATCTGCCCGGTAAGCGGAACACTGTGGGTTCGATTCCCATCCCTGGACACTTTTATTTTTCCGTTTATCATTACTCTTCACAATTCATCCTTTCAATACCTCAACTCTAAGGTTAGAAATAATCGTTGTTTCTCCTTAAAAGAAAGACACGCGGGGACAATTTTCAAATGTCGTTTTACAATTACTGTACATGTGCCCCTTTTCGAGTAAATTATCAAAGAGGGGGAAAGGGTAATAACACACCGTGTCGACAGCTATAACTCGGGATTGAATCCTGCGCTGAGCAAAGTGGGGGTTGGACTTGTGAAAGAATCGGGGGGCATTGGAACATGTTTTATTCAGAAAAAAAAAGTCAATTCGGGATTCGATCCCGCGTTGTTTCTGTCTAGAATCAATGGTTTATACCACACACACGTCGACAGACCTCCTGGAAGCATTAATCCAATGAACTAATTAATCCCATGACTCAAACAAGTTAAGGCGAAAGCATCAGCCGACTGAGATGAAATAACAACCTCGGACGTCTCATGTTCTCTCTAAGAAACATTATGGTAAAAAAAAAGAGAGAAATTATCCTCGTCCGCTGTAAGTCCCAGTGGGACTTTTTCGGACAAAACAACAAAAAAAAAAAAAGAAAAGACAAACAACATGCCGCCCGCTGCAAGGAACAGGTAAAAAAAGTGTAAATATTTATAAATGTGCAAAGAATGTACCTCACCCACTTATTCAGGGCATTATTGGATGCCTTTCTTTGGGTTTCCCGGAATGAAGGGATTCACATGATATCCGGATAAGAAACACGTATTGGTAAATTCAAACAAAGGCTAACAACCTGTATACCATAGTTTCTGGCTAATAGCCTCCATCAGTATAAGAAAACAGGTAATCTTTTATGTTGTTGAATGTATGTTGAATTTGGCCAAATCTGGTCTTCTCCGCTTTTCATAACTTATCCGTTCTACGCAGAGAAGATCTCAAAGGTATATTGTTGCAATGCTTTGATTAAGAGGGGAAGGTGACTTTTTACACCCCATTCTTTTCTCACTTTTAGACTAAATAAAATAATTGTTCGTTTCCAGCAGAGTTGAGCCATCTAAAGTTGGCACGTGTAGGTACGTACACAAACCACAGGTATGTGGAAATCATTCGACGGTTGCGCTTATATTGGTTACCAGTTTGTCCCTGAGGTTGGTTTTGTGCAAGAATCAAGGGCCGTTGAAGCCATTTATCTATCTACACACCTTATCTGTAGGAATTTGAAATAGTTATGGAGGAGAGAATATATGCGTTTGACCAGTATTTATTTATTTTATTCATAGGAAATTATTCGGTTCAAAATCACTTTATTAGGTACCGCTCAACAAGAGCAACCTAGTTTATGATAATTGAAACAATGAATAATATGTGAAGGTTATTCACATATTAAACAAAATTTTAACGCGGGATTCAATCCCGGTTCATGACGGTCGGGAATCGAGGGTGTTACCCACTCGTCCACCGACTTGTTTAGGAAATTATAGGAGATTTAACTTTACCATTGATTTCTCAAGAAGTCTCTGGGACCAAATATTTGGTCGTACAGTCTGCATCACCTTGACGAAGGACAACAGCACGAAACACGTACATGGTTGAATTGTCTTGATTTATCAAGAAATTGGGTTGGCCAAATATCTTTGGAACAAGATAAACCAACGTTTAGTTGATTTTTGTTCCACTAGATGGCGCTCTGCCATTTAAAATGATCGTGCGAGCGGTCAGGAAATGCTTATTTTGTTTTATATATACAATTTCGGTTAGCATTAATGTCAAATCAAAAATAGAAAGTACAAATATATTTCAACCTACTATCGCAAAGCCCGAAAAAAGTCAAAAAAAGCAAGCACGTTCAAAAAGGGTATAACATAAAACAATGTTATCGTTATTTAAGCCTATGACCATGGTATTAACGGTAAATAGGGATTTAAGACTGTTTCTACGGATCTACACTTGGAGAGAAAGCAACTCGACTTTTGCACTTACAAGGCGCAAAGTTTCTGATGACGACTTACGCCATCGAAATAAATATCAACTAATCATTTATTTTTATTTAGTTTTATTCCGCAAGCCTTCAGTACCTTTTAATTACAGTACCTTTTAATTACACGATCAGTAGATGCCTTTTTTTTTTCTTAATTCTGATAAACATCGGGATGCTTGGAGAAAAAGCCATTGTTAAAGAGATGGTTGAAGTGAAGGAAGAAGTTCCAGAAGAAGGCGGACTGACCAAATTAGACCGGACTGACCCTGGAAGATACAAGGCAGAACAAGATGGGAGAAAATTCATTAACGAGGTCACGAACTACCAGTAATGGGGGAAAAAACGAATAAGCTACTTGGGAGATGGGTAGGAAGTTGTGATTGCTTCTGCGTGTGACATACTTTCTATCAAATAAACAAAACTTCCTATTACCTATTCTCGGAAAACACTGGAAGAAACAGTCAAAAACAACAACAAGAGTATTCTCACATGAAAATAATAAACATATTTTATTTGTACGCTACCTATCCCCCGATTTACACGGTACTTGTTTTACACGTTTTCGCTTTTACACGGTTTTCCAAATAAGTTTTTTTGTTTTTTGTTTTTATCGCACTATACTAAATGCTACTGTGATTGAACACACGCGCTGTGTACACATCTCACGAGGAATCCCGAGCTTATGTGCTGACTACATATTTTAACCTGTCAATGCATTTTATTTTTATTTCTGTGTACACCTATCCCCCGATTTACACGTTTTTCTCAGGAACGTATCTACCGTGTAAATCGGGGGATAGGTGTATTTTTGTTTTTAAAATATAAATATTGCCACGTGGAAAATTAGAAAAGACAAACTCCACGGGAGAGGCGACCTTTGTCTCTTTAGAAACTCCAGGATAACACAGCAATTTAAGACAAGAGCAAACTATAAATGATCAAAAAAGATAGGCAATGAGGTAAGTTTATAGAGTAGCAAAACATAAACATAAAAAATGATACTCTGTTAATAAAATAATAAATACTTTGCTACAATATAAATAAAATTATGTCTACAGCCTATATCCTACGATGAACAAAAATTGAAAGAGGGAGGGTATGAGCCAAGCTCTCCTAATTATTTTGTAATCGCAGTAAGGCCAGTAGAATTTGTTTTAAGTGTGAAAGAATCATTCGTGCTTCAATGCTTTCATTTCTTAAGAGAAATTTGTTTTAATTTTTATTTTACTTGACATCAACAACCTAGATAAGTACAAGCAGTCGCAAAACCCAGCCCATCCTGATTTTCGTGGCCTACCTGTACCAAGTGTATAAAGTTGCGTCGCTGCTTAATTTTTACTGATTTTCACTGTGCGTCGTTAGATTTTCGAAGTTGCGTTGTTTTGGATTCGAGTCTTTAATTTTTTTTTTTTTTTTTGAATTTTTTTTTCCCTAAAATATGGCAACACCTTTGTTTTTGATTGCGCCATGCCATCAAAATTTTATTTTCACTTTGCGTCGTTTCAATTTGCGTCGTGTTTTTTTGGAACGTAACCCCGACGCAAAGCGAGGTATGGGTTGTACTTCAACTGTATGGAAGGTGGCACATTGGTCTCACCATTTCCGCCACTACTGCCTCCTACATGTGCAAATAAGATTATAATCCAAGCCTCAGAACACGTCCCTCCAAGAAGAGCTAAAAGTAGCGGCGTGAAGAGACACAATGTCAAGGAAGCAATACAAGGTGGAGAAAGTAGAAGAATGAAAGAAAACACTATCTAGGACGGAAGATTGACCGGGGCTGTTTGCTGGGAAGGGGGTCAGTAACTGGCCATCGCAGTTTCGGCCTTATTTCCAAAATTAGAAACTTTTTTTTCTTTTTTTAATCTTCGCGCCCATGTAATGTGGTTTAAAAGTTTTTGTACTTCCCTCAATTTCTCGCTGTTCACAACTCCTCTATCCTGACACCTTATATTTGGTAACAATGTACCAAACCCACTGGAGTCTGGTGTCATGGAGGTACAGACCGTTGATTTTTCGAAACCTGGGTATGGCATTAATTCCTACATCGCCTGAGCACCTTTATTTTCTCTTTAAAATAGTTGTTTCAGTGGCCTCTGATTTTTCTACACTAGCGGAAGTCAAGTATAGCCAACCGGTGCTTTGACATTTTCAAGTGCAAAGTTAAATTGTTTCTTCTACGGGTGTAGACATGTGATGTACTTATACTACAAAACAGTTATAACCCTCTGCCCATCCTGATTTTCGTGGCCTACCTGTACCAGGTGTATAAAGATTTTTTCCAATGCTTCTACTGTATGGAAAGTATTGACACATTGGTCTCACCAATTTGAGATTGGAGAACATTGCGACTGCTGTGATAGAGATGCATGGAGACATCTGAGGCTCCTCATTGGATACGACAACAGCTTACATTATATGCAGACACAAAACCCTAACCTACCATGATTATAGTGGCCAAGTGTAATTGGGATTATAAAATGCTTCTACTGGCTGGTCAGTCAAATACACAACGGCGCGAGTGCAGTCCTGGGGACATATCGGGCGAGACAAAAGAAGGCGGCGGTGGCGGCCACAATGTTTATTTATCCGAGGAGGAAAGAAAGAGGGCGCTTCTATATCGAGCAACAACAACTTCCGGCGGAAATACCAACTCTGGTAATCGCATAACATCCTTGGTAGAACACAGCTTCCAGGGCGTTTTTGGGGAATTTCCCCAATTCTTACGCGAGAATTCCTCTGAATTTAGCATGTCATATAGGCCACACTGAATCTTACCAGGAAAAAAACCCCATCTTCATCCATTCTCTAAATATCTTTAAATTTGCATGCTATTTGTGGAGAACAAGGAGCATGGAACTAAGGAGCGTTCAAGAAGACCTTTTCTGGAGGAGAACTCTCTCGGGGTGTGGTCTCCCTTGCTGAAGAAATACTGAAAGGCTGATACTGATTATAGGCGAAATCAACAAAATAGTAGTACAGATATCTCCAATATGGATGTCAGCATGCCATCATGGAAAGCCACCCTGTTC